ATAGAACTCCAACTTAGTGCACGGTCTTGATTTCAGATACCCCTGCAGCTTGTCAGGGCAAGCCACAAAGTGTAAGGTTGCAGTCGCTAGGATACTAGCCCCACAAAGGCAGCATGAACCAATGATGGGTCATGCTCAGCGGGAGTAGTGATTCTGAAGGCATTGAGCCTACACCGGAGACCTTGCAAGACCCCAAGGATTGGTTCATCACTGCCGAGATGAGGTCAATGCGGTTGGTTTGGGAAGAGCCCAGGCCCTCGGCACAGCCAGTACTGCTTTCAATTGATGCAAGTTCCAAGTCCTGACACATACCACAACGAGGGCTCTAGATATCGTGATGTGACCTCACCAGATACTCTTGTACGCATACTGCATGCAGGAAGGAGAGCGCCAAGTTCATTGACGGGGGGCACCTCGTTGGCCTGGCAAGTGGCCACTGCCGGAAACCAAGTCACCATCGAACTCTCTTTCTCCAAAAGCGTTCAGTGTACAGTATAATTTTAACCCTCTATGATAGAGGATGACTGTTAACATTGGGGCGGGGATTGGACATTTTTTTGCTATGTTCACTCCCGCCCTGGACGAGGTTAGAACCGCTGCTCCATATCCTCCCTCGTAATGGAAACTGCGCCTAAAGATCCCAACAGCGGAGTTGGGACCAAGCAAGCGGACTCAAGAGTCTCCTCCTGCTGGACCACGAGAAAGCTTCAAAGCGCAATCCCAGAGACTGCCAATCCCAAAGCTCAATCCATGCAAGCCTTAGTCATAAAAACTTGTGCCGCAAGCTTAGAACCAGCCCAACGTTCCTGTATTTGGGCACTTCCCACACACGCCAACCAAAAGCAACAGATCTAAATATAGATCCTTGTTTCAGGACTTTAGACAGGCTGAATTCCGTAGACAAAGTCGGACGAGCTCAGGCCAAGTCTATCCGCATTTGCTGCGCATTGCCCAGGAATTCGACGAGGATTCAGCATCTGGACTACGGGAAGATTAGGGTCTGAGAGGTTTGGGGTGTTAAGGCTTTTGATGTTATACACTTCATTCCAGAAGCCACGCCATGTTTCTTCTGGAGTTTGGATGGGGGGCAGCAACCTGAGAATACAATTGCGGGTGAGCAGTGGCAAGCTGGCAAACATGCAAAATCAACGGTCGCCACCCTGACAGCCGCATGAAACAAAACCCTGATGACATTGACGCCCTGCCTGCATTTTAACATCAAAGCCCTAAATCCTAAACCCTACATATAACCCCTCTATTCCCTGTAAAAATACCCCTCATTATGGGGACCCCCCCTATTTTCTTATTTATGGTAAGAATTGCCACAGCGGACTAAACTCCCTTACTGCCTTGCGCCCAGAGCCTGCATGAAAACGCTAAGCCTGCGGATCCATGCGGTTTGGGGTTTAGGGGTTGAGTGTTTTGGGTTTAGGGTTGGCATGATGACATGGTAGTTTCCAAGCAATACATCTGAGGTTACTACCCTAGTCATGGAGAATCCAATGGAAAACAAAATTGAAAATGAAATGGAAGCGATTAAATGTATATAAATCTGTATAGGGATTACATGGTAGTGCCACTAAATGGGTGGGGACCCAACATACACCCAAAAACAGTATTGTCCTTATTCTTGGGACTTCCAAGAAGTTACCCCTAGCTGGGAGAAACCCCCACATGTATCTGATAGTCGAATTTATGGAAGACTTGCTATGTATTGAGCGAACATGACCTTAGCCCTCGAAGCTGAGGTTCTGGTAAGCGACTGGGTTATACCACAATATACATTTTTTAATATACCATTATAATAAAAATATACTATACTAGACTATGCTATAATATGAATGTGAAATATGACCTTACAAGGCAATCTTCCTTTGTAGCCCGAAACTTTTCACCATGGCCTTTAAGAAAGACAACTTTGCTCTCACTTTCGAAGGGGTAACGCGCTGCCAGGAATATTCCATGGGCTGAAATTTCTTATCGCATTGACTTTCTCAGGTGCACTTACGGCGCGACTACCAGGACTTGCTGGGATGCTAGGGTCAAAATATAGGTGGTAACATGTATTAGTTGAGGAGAAACCTCAAGCGGCAAAACAAAGACCTTCCATGCACGGATGTAGTCATAATCTATCAGGAAGTCGTTTGCCCCTCCACTCAAGCTCATGAGCTCACAGACCCCCACACTGCGAGCACAATTGCCAAGAGAATCTGCTCAGCTGACCCAGCCAAAAATGTAGATTTTCCGCAAAGGACTACGCAGCCGCAGGCCGAGTCGCCTTAATCTGCGGAGGAGCGAGGGTTTGGCGATGGTGGATTTGGGTTATTCTTGCGCTAAGGATTTAAGCGGGGTTGTGGGATTGGGAGCTAAGTGTTCCAGACTCAGAAAGAAATCCAGAGCCGCTAATGCCCTTCGCACCTAGCAAGCCAGAAGTACCACCGCACCTACACCCTTGAGCTCAATATGTTGTTTGATACTAGAGCCACTTCAGTCCCTCCAGAAAGGGCTCTTCTCAACAAGTGGGCAATTGAGAAGTTGCCTGCCCTCCGCCCCTATCTCCAAATCCCGCCCAAGTAATTATTATTGCGCTTTATGAGCCCCAAGTAATTGGCAGGAGGGGCGGGCCATGAGCCGCTGATGGCTGGATTCGTCGGCAAGGGGCTACTCACGGCCTCCGCAGCTGGGACCCAGCTTCAGAAATGAATCTGGGAGAGGATCAAGGCTGGCTGGCTTTGTCGTGGCTTTATGAGTAAGCAGGTTCGAGACCAGGGGACGGTGTGTGAAGAAATCGATTCAGATTTAGGGGCAGGCCCAGCTGTGGTCCTGCGACTTGTCAATTATTTGCTGTGAGATTGCTTGATGGCAAGCAGTAGACCAGCATGCTAGGAGCCGTAATTGGTATTGCATCTGAAGTCCACAGACGGAATCTGCTGCCTGAGGTCACTGGTGCGCTGTTTGCCGCGCCCTCGCCAGGTGCCTGGGAAAGGTCATTTCCGGCACAAGCCTTGCCGTGTGAATTTTATGTCTGACACAGGCATCAACTGGGATTCTCCGCTTACAGCCCCCAAGCCTTGAGGCCCTCCCCAACGCTGAGGCGCAACCAACCAAAAAGAATCTCGCTGTTCCAAATGGCACGGTGGTCTGTCAGCATCGGCCATCACTGTATTCCGTGTATGCTCACGCGTTCAGTGAGCGCTTCCAGCACTGAAAGCCTGAAAGCCTGAAAGCTGCATGGGAAGAAACTGTGGAGCCGGCCCCGAAATTTGGATTAGAACGTCTAGGATTGTTCATCATCTGGTTTGGGAGGTGCCATCTTTCGTGCGATTATGGCTGCAGCAGGGCCGGGAGGCTTGGCCTTGCTGTCTTCTCCGTGCTGGTGTGTGACGTTGACTCTTGAAGCGGGGTCCTTGTTGTGTGAAGAGAGCAGTACTCAAGAACATTCAAGAACCAAGTCCCATCTCAAAAGGGCGGGGTTATGAAAACCAAGGCCATAGTTTGGACAGGGCTGAAGATTAGAATCTTGAACAACATGTTCATGTTCGTGTACAGTCACTGGAAGTTAGCCGCATTGGAGAATAAATTGCCTACGCCTACCTCTGTCACAAGAATTTATCCGGGTTCATATCTCAACTACTCACTACCATGGGTAGGGGCCAAGCTCTTCTCGCCCACATGTTGTGCCATGTGCCTCAAGGCTGCATCCTGATTGTAAAGAACTACCCGGGTCTTCGCTTCAATCACGCCGTGGCAGCCGAGCGAGCACGCAGCAAAGGCCAGGATTTGATGAAGCTTTGCGTGGCCAGATCTTTGTTGGAGGTCCTGCGTATCCATGCAGCAGGAAGGGACTGTGAAAGTGCGGTTCGGACCCCACATCTTCCAAAAACATCCTTAACTCATATGTGGCCTTGTCTCCAGCAAATTCCACAGCAGTCACAGTCTAGATCCTATGGAATCACAGGCGTCACGGTGGAGCTGGTGATCGTGCGACTATGCTGCAGTGAGAAAGTTGTTTCACGACTCTTCGTAGTGTTTACATGTTTGCGCTGAGGGTAGACGGCTGAACGGCTGAACTTCTATGTTGTTGTGGTCCAGGTTGTTCAGGTCTGACGTTGCATGTCCCGAGTATGAGATGTTATTCCTATTCCTGCAAGGCACTAGCAATTCCCAGAGCCTACACTGTTTCTGTGGGGCACGGACAGGTTTCCGCCTCAAACTCATAAGCCCCTCAGCTACATCGTGAGGATTTTAGGGCGACTGCCCTGAGGTCGGACGACGTCGGCTCGCAGCAGGGCGAATCCGAGGCGACCCGAGCTGTTACCGCAACAATATGGGGTTATATGGGGGTTATATGGGGTTATATAGGGTTATATAGGGAACATATTGGGATAATGGAAAATAAAGTGGAAACTACTATCAGGTTCCGGGATATGTTTCCACCTCAGGGTGAGTAGCAATTTCAAGAAGCATTAACGCTGGAGGAAAAAGGTGTTTTCAGGCATCACCTGGCTTGCGCACAAGGACCATAGCAATCAATCTGCAAGTCAGTTTGAACTTCGGAAGCTTGGGGTTGGGAGCATCAACGTCAGTCCGCTGCTTCGATTTTGCTGCCACATTCTGCAGTGAAGCAGTGGGATGCTGATGCAGACCCTCACATAGGCTGGTACGACGGCTGGCCCGATAGCCCGGCATCGTACGTTATCCAAATTGTAACTACGCCTGCCGCAAGTTTAAGAATACCAAGCCCGCGATCTCACCCTGAGAAAACCCAAGGCATGAAGCCTTAAAAGAACGCGTTGCCCTGAAAGAGTACCTTGCTTAGGCTTTGATGTGCTTCAAGCTCAAAGCCAAACCACTGGCACTAATTATGCAATTTACTGGGAGTTAGGAGGGAATAAGGGAATACATTGTATGGATTACATTCCCTTATTCCCTATACTAAGCACCAGTAAGGCAATGCTATGTCGAAAGACCCTTGTGCCCCAACGCCTGCACAGATGCAGGCCTCCAGATGCCTGGCAGGTGCTGCTGTTGTGATCAAGGCCCAGCTGGATTTTCCCTTGCTTGGAAGGTATCATTCATGGACTTCCGCTTCAAAATCTGTAGTTGCAGCCTGAGCATAAGCCCTGTTGCATATTGGGCTTAGGTAGCATGCAGCAAGTAGAGTTACCTTGCGCGCTTGAAGCTTTTTGTGTTTGTGTTCGCTGCCGGCAGGTGGCGGGCAGCCTCGCCGAGGCCGGAAAAGAGCTTCGCGAGGCGCAGCTGACGGGCTATAAAAGGGGGTGGTATGGGTTCAGGTGTAGTCTTTGGTTTGGAGGGGTTTTTTGTGGGGGGGGTTAGGGGACAGCGTGTTCAATTTAAGCAGTTTGCGAGGTATGTTGCGCGTTATCTGCTTGGCCAGGCGCACTTTATGGTTGTACCCCTGATTTGAACTACTTGGGCTGACGCCCTCCTGCCGCTAGTGTTCGTAAGTTTGTGCAAGTGATGCGGTGTCAGACTTTGAAAGCTGTCAGACTGCTTCACATTCAGGCACTGGAAAGACACACTTGCAGAGCAATAATTTGCGCAGTCACCACCTTTGTGGAAGCATTTCATCCTTGTGATGCTTGGGCACGAGGATGGTTAAGGAGGGGGTGGACTGGAAATGGGGTTAGCGGGTCCTTGGTTGCAGTTCACGAAGTCAGGCTTCTTAGTTTGCGAAGTTGTGCCTCGGGGTCTTCTCGGAAAATAGTACCGGGCTTCAGGGACGGAAGCTTCAGGCATGCTTGCGGTGGCAGTGGAAGAATCAATGTGCCGGTACAACCCATCATACTGGCCTCTGGACCATGTTCTGGGCACACCTACTTGCAACCATAAATAAAACAACCGTAGGACACTAGATGCTTGGTCAAAAGCAGCTGCTACAAAGTCATCGTAGCAGGAACCGTTGATGCTGTCCAGGTACGGGAAGCTGCACAGCTGGCGGCCGACGCTACCAAAACGATGGCCCTTGCATTGCGCTGGCCGGGTGCTTCAAAAAAAGAACTGCGACGCAGGAAATCTTAACCTGTAACAGGCTTTAGGATGCCTGGGTAAGGCGTCAATGGCCTTTGTCAGAGTTGCGTTCATGCGCCTGATGCCACTGCAGCGCCTGAGGAGAATTTCGCACAAGCTAGCACATCTAGGCTAGGTCAACCAGATGCGATGCCAAAAGTCAACCCTGCAAGGCGTGGTGTAGACTGGATTCTGGAGCTTGGGGTGGGCATCCACGGCGAGGCCCTTTCTTGTCATGTAAAGTCCTCACAATCATGCGTGAGCGCATGTGTACTGATTTCTCAACCAATTTCTCACCACGGGAAGAGCCTTGTCACACTTACTTGCCTGGCATTGACGTGGCCTTTTATCTTTTCCGCTGCAAAACAACCAGATACAGCATGTGAGCCTGCTGCAGGCCGGAGTTCAGGAGTTGCCGTCCTTGGCGTATCTTGCCTGCAGTTCCTGGGTTGGGGTGTAAGTCGGTTAAGCATTTGAGGTCGACTTCAAGATAGGCCATACCTGTTAAGGTTTATGGGCCTCAGGATTTGGGGCTGGTGACGGTCTGAGGTGTGCGGATCTTTTTGTGCTTAGGTATGAAAGGTGACCGGAACTCAGTCCTGGCTGAGCTGGGCCTCAAAGCTTCACAGATCATCACATCTCCATCATTATGCATGGAGCTTCTGTTCGGAGACGCCCATTGCCATGCATGTGATAGGAGCTATGTAAGAAGCTTACTCCAGGTGAGACGCTCCACAGCGCATTTTTTCGCCTGGGCGTGACGGCATTGTGCCTCTTAGGGACTGCCCTGGGAAAGATCCCAGGAGCCTTCCCGGCGCCTCTGATGGCTGCTTCGCTGCTGCAGTGGTGCCTGGCCAGACTTGCTTCAGCTGAAGCCCCGATGGGGTTTAGACAAAAAGCTTACAATTAGAGACTTTGGGGTTCCTGGCTTGGATAGCTAGCATTGTCAGCTAGCAGGCTAGACAGTCTTTGGCGAAGTTGCGTTTGCTTCGGGTAGGCTTCTCTTGCGCAGCACCCAAGCAAAGAAGACCAGAAGCCACATCAATGTGTCCCAGTCCTAGATGCTTTATCGAAAGACCCCTAACTTCGCGCATGCCCCTCATGCAAGAGCAGGATTTCAAGAATCTGGCCTTGATTCTCATGTATGCATGGATTGTTTGCGGAGTGCTGAGGTTTAAGGTTGAGTTGTCATAAAGTTCCTATCATGCGCAAGTGGGAGCCAAACCTAGTAGATGACGTCTCTTTCTACTTCGCTAGAACACAAGCAGTCAGCAGACTTACGACATGAGTCGGGCAGAGCAGGTGTCTTGCTCAAAGCATGGCCCGCAAACTCCTGAGGCTTTTCCAGCTAGAACCATAACCCTGAACAATTTGTTGCAGTTTCCATGTTCAGTTCCACTCCCCCTTAACCCTAAACGCTGAATAACATTGTAGTTTCCAGTTTCCTTTACATCATTACTAAATCCCCTTTCTTCACTTCGAAGCTCAGGTCCGCGCCCTGCTTCGGGAGCTTCTACCTGCAACGAAGCTCCAGCCGGGCCAGCCGGGATCAGCTGGTAGTTTCCCTAAATAGGGGATCCCCAATTCCTTGTTATAAAGCAGCCCAAAACGGATGAATAGGGACTGCTAATTGTGCGAAACCCCCATGTAGAGTACCCAGCAATGGCCTTGCGAGGCTTAAGATTTAGGGCTCAGTGATTGTCGGGGCCTAGAGTGTATGGGGTTGGAGTCTTAATTTGGGAGCTCGGGGGCTGGGCTGAAGTGTGCTGATTGCTGACGCCTGCCTTCAGTCAGTATGACCTTGACCTCTCACTTCTTCAACGTATCGAAAGGCAAATTGACAGTTATTGCTATGGCTGGTTTGGCAGTTGCGCGCTGCCCACAGTCTCATGAAGTCAGCTGCCCGTGGTTCAAGCATGTCTCCATCCAACACAGGCGATGAGGTGGTCGTTGTTCTGAACAATCTCGGAGGTGGGACTCTGCTTGAAGAAGCAGAAGTTGGGGGTGGAGACAGGCATGTAACATCTTGGTGAGGTTTTTCAGGCGTCCAGATGGGGTCCCTGTCTCTTTGGCGGTTGAGCGTGGTGTAATACAAGCAAGGGCTTGCATCCATGATAGTGGAAAGAAGGTAGGGCTGCTTCTACGTTCCTCGAGAGAGTTCTGACCACCTTGAGATGCACACGTGGCATTTGACATAAGCATTCCTCAAAGCTAATTCCGTATAATAATCCCTAGACGGACCTGCGGAATCCTCCTCTTCCTGTGAACACATGTATAAATAGTCCTGGGGTCCCCGGAGTGCCCCGTGCCAAGAAATCTCCGCATTCTCCACATGGAGGCACATCCCCACTGGAGATGTCGGTGCTGTGTGACGCTGCCTTTCGTCAGCTGCGTTCCCGTGGTGCCGTCGTCCCTGGGCACGAGTTTGTTCCCCCTGGGCTTCATCCAGAAATCAGTGCGCTCCGGGTGTACAATACCAGTCAATACACGGGCTCTCCCATGTGGGGAGGGATATATGTCAAAATATTGAGGTTCATACAAGGACTGTAAGGAGGCATGGCTTCAGGAGTAGTCCTTCGGACCACTCAACCCGTAAGTGTAGCAGGGGTGGGGTTCTTCATGAAACATCAAGAAATCTAGGATAAAGCTCCAGTTTTCCTTGCAATTATCATTTCTTCGTCTGGTGGGCTACACCGGCCACTTTACTAAGTCCATCTAGAAAGCTTGAAACATCATCCAGAGCATTCCCAATTCTCGAAAATCTCCAGTCTCACATGATAAGAGCAAATTGACTTCATTCTCAAACGCTCGCTCTGTTATTAGCCGTTCCTGCCAAGTGCATTGTGCATAGAAAGCACCATTGCTGAAGATCAGCTTATCTGTGTGGGGGTGATCATGTCTTTCATGCCGTCCATCACAGTCCTCAAAGCCCTTGAGCCTGTGAGCCTGTCTCCCTTTGAAAGGTTGCTGGCTACGTGCAGGGCACTTTAGTCACCTGCCTCGACATGCATGGCGCCGCGCGGATTCAAATCCAGGGACGTTGGGTTTTCGGGGAGAGGGCGTACGGACGTGTCGGGTACAAAGCCTGCCTGGATCCCCCATGCCCTTCGAGGAGCCAAGAAGCTTTGTCTAGTGGGAGTCTTATGGGCTCTTCGGCAGTTCCATTCCTCCGCCTTGTACCGTATTGCTTCGGTTTGGCTTTAGGGTTTAGGGTTTAAGGTTGCCCAACACCCTTCCTGAGTTTCCTTCCTTGGCCATGTCTCAGGCCTCCCTGTCATTGATCCCGCTGCGCGAAGCGCCGGCGAACCTCGTGGAATTTCTAGCAGCCCCTTGCGCTGTAATGTAGGGCGTTTGTCTGGCAATGTAGGGCTTTCCGGTTCGGAGTTCAGGTGAATAGGGTTTTGGGTTTACAGAGTTTTGAGCTTCGTTCGCCACTAACGGAAACAACAGAGAGAATCGAATGGGAGCCTAGAAGGGAACAATGACCAGAAGGTCGGCGGAGGTCAGTGAGCAGCATGCGTGCTGTTTGCATGATGGGTTTCGCATGCAGTTAAAAGGCGATTGGTCAAACAGCAGCCTGGTGTCGAAGTGCAAATAACCAGGAGACCAGTAAGGCGCTGGCATGTGCCCTTGGATGCGATTGCTTGGGTTCTACGAAGTACTGATAGATCAACATATAGCTACACAGCACGTCACCAAACCTCCACACTAATCCAGGGTCCTAAGTGTGGGCCCCTGTTTGGGCTTTGGGGGTTTGTCCAATATTGAGGATTGCAGATAAGGGACTCATGGTCTCAAGCTCAAGTCAGGCTCCCGCGGAGGTGAACTCTGCTTGGCCGGGCCTGCTGATCCCTCCCATAGACTCGGAGGTGCGAGGCTTAGGGGGCTGGTGATAGAACAAATAAAAGCGATCATAATAGCAGGAAGTGTACTAATACTAGAAATAATATGGGATATCATGCGGAGTGAGCGCGAGAGGGTGAGGTTGAAGTTCCTCAATTTCTGGATAATACTGTCGAACGCGGATCCTTATTAGTTCCCATTCGAGCATGATTCAGGTGGCGTCGGTTCCGAGCGAGAAGGATGACAAAGGTTGAGATGAGGGGCTGTTAATTACAGTCTTTAGTTTGACCATGCCTTACATGATTTTTTCTCTAGTTAAGATTGGCAGGGCACGCATCAGCTCCCCAAACAGAACCCTCCCAAACGACGAATTTCTGTTCAGATGTGCTCTCTTCAAAGACTCACACCATTTTCGGAGAGCCCCCCTCTCACGTAGACCGAATATGAGATCCTCATAACATCTCTATACTCCCTCGGCCTGCTTCACGAGGAAAATCCCCAAGCCTCTTTCCTCGCTCCCCCCATCACACCCTCAGCATACTGGGGGTCAGAAGGGAATAGGGGTATATGTCATATAAGAATTATCTTCCTGATTCATTCCCTACTATTTAATCCCTATATAACCCCTATATAACCCCCATATAACCCCTATATAACCCCTATATAATCCCAATATAACCCCTAATCACCAGTAAGTCAGGTGGTGATCCAGGAAGCCGCAGTCCCACCCCTTCCGGCTGAGACCGCCGTGAAACCTGCGGAGACCCAGCTGCGCAAGGCTCTTGGAACTTTGCAGCCCTTCTTCTGTCGAATGAGGTTAACCTTCATAGTTGGACGATTTTAGACTGGCAGTTCTCATGAAACTTACTTGATCCTAGTTTTGACACTTGTAACAGCTGTAGTAAGCTACCTGGCCCCTACCGCGTGTCATTGTTGTCGTCATAGCTTCAGCATAATAGGCACGGGGAGAATTTTCTTGGCCAGGGATGTGCGGGCACTGCGCTTCCGGCGGTGTAGTCCTGTTGGCTTAGGGATTTTGTGGATTATGTAGAGGTTTGAACAAACAATCGGCACAAAAGCTCCAGAAGGAAGTAAAAACCTGAAAGGAGGGCGAAGGCAAAGAGGGCCAAGAGCTAAGCATCACAATTAGAATTCCCTGGGGGGGCGGCAATAATCCTCGTCGTTACCAGCAGTAGCCGCAGCAGAACTGAAGTCATGATGATGGGATCCGAGAACTCTGAGGAAGCGAGGTACCTTTAGGTACACAGCCAAACCAAATCCAAGGCCTCCAAGTATGCCGCCGCGGCCCTGTAGGCCCAGAACTTCAAGGGCCTGCCCATCTCAATCCCCGAAGCCTGGCTCCTACACTTCAACGCTGAACCCTGAACTTCCCCATTTGGGAACCCTCAGAATCTCCTCATGACCCCTATATATACATATGTGTATATATGTCTCTCTCTCTTGGTCTTTACAGGGACCTTAGTAATTTAGAAGCCTGAACCATCAGCCGGAGGCAATATCAGCCGCCTGTGAGATGCTCATCCTCGACTCAACAGTCAAGGCTGTAACAGGGGAATCAGTAGTTGGGGATATAGCGTAGGGATGAGGGTATAGACAGGGATAGTGGAAGGGTAACATTGAAATTGCTCTTCAGGGTTCAGAGTTTTAGGTTTCAGTCATCACATGCTTGACCTGGATTGGGACGCTCAGCAGGCGAGCGCTGAAACAAGACCCTACTTACTACTTTTGCATCTTTGGCAGCATAGCAGACACAACGGTCCACCAAGACTTTTCTCATTCACATAGCAAGGAGAGTCTAGCCTAAGCTTCCTTCCTGTAGTTGCAAGACTTTTGGGCAAGGTCGCACATTGCACTTCCTGACCAGGATCAAGTGCAGATGCTCAGTTCTGAGGGTGTAGAACGCAGGCTTCTCCATAAGACACTTGATGTATGGCTCCTTTGCGAGAGTTGGCATGGCTCCTTCAGCCTACAGGCTCATTCTTTGACACTCCGTATTCAGTATTCCCCTCGGTATGGTATGCAAAATCAGGTGTAACATGGTGTAACCAAAGAAGGTCCATGTCCAGCTTCCTTCCCGCAGGCTCTGGACGAGATGGATTTTGAGTGCGGCGATGCTGTCGCTTGGAGCTTGTTTGTTCGACGCAAAGGTGTCCATAAATTCAAGAAAGCTACGCAGACTCCTTGTGACGCTACTTTAGGTAGGGGGTATCTCTGTTCGTTAACAGGCACACTCAAGGGAAGATGCGAGAAGGTGTTCAGAAGGAATCGCAGCTTCTTGAAAACTGATTGCTTGTGAGACCTAAGCGTTTTGTTCAGGAACCAGCAGAAATTTCCACATCGCGTCTGTGATGAATAACTACGACGAGCTTGCCCTCCGAGCGACGCCATAGGCAATGTTGCAAGACAAGCCAAGGACTGTGGGGGCACGCACCGAGATGCGGCTGAGGCGCTCATGGCCACCATAGAGGCCACTTGAACGGAGATTAGAATTTGGTTCGAATTGCGGCGTTCTGCGTGAACCTTTTAATAGGAAATCATCACGGACCCCCTTCTGGCTGAGGCCGTGCCGAGCTCCCCCGACGAAGCCCTGCGGTTTCTGGCAGCCCATTTGGAACATCAATGCCGGGGCACCTCGAATGCATAGAGCCCTTTGAGGTTGTGGGTAGGGGTCCGGTACCGTACCTGGTCGATGCGCAGGTGGCGAGCTGTGAGCCACAACCACCCCAAAATTGCTGAGAGGGATTTTGTTGAGATGTACGTTACGTATGCACACACATGGGCGTTCAGTCATTCTGCGAAATGTGACGTGGCTGCAGGTGCAACTGCTGTTGGAGAGTCCCTCCTTGAAAGACTGGAACCCCTCTGTGACCAAAGTACTTTGACAATGTTGCGCTTAAATTGCCTTGCTAGCGGCAGCTGGCTTTATGAAGTTTGTGCTGGCTCCATGGTGCCTGTTCAGCAGGTGCCATTGGCGGAATCTACGTTCTCGGGCTGGAGGCTTTGGGAGACTTTATCAACTGCCTACTGCTTTGTACAAGATGTTGTTGGCTTCATGCTGTAGGATTGAGTCTGTTTGCTTTGGTTTCGGTTGTTTTTTAGTCTTTGCCGTTTGTGCTTCTCTTTTTTTGGAGTTGTCATCAAGACAAATAACGGATAAACAAAAAGATCAACGGACATCAATGAGCGATAAATGAGCATCCAAAAAATAAACGCCAAAATACTGCAATTCACAGCAGTTGGGAGCCAGAAGGGCTGCAGGTACTGTAAACACAGCATTTATCAGCATTCAGCCAATACTGTTAAACTTCCTGGCTTCTTGGCTGACTCTCTTCTCGGCTGGATGGCTTCTGGGCTTTGTGGCTTCTTGGCCTCCTGCTTCTTGGCTTTCTGGCTTCTCTTCTTCGTGGCTTTTTGGCCTCCTGGCTTCGCAGCTCCTTTATGTCCTCTGTTACCTACTACTATTACTATTACTATTACTACTACTACTACTGCTACTACTACTACTACTACTACTATCATTAACCATCGAATTACCAATGTATTATTACTACGATGAAAGGTTACGAACAACAGTTGCTAGGCTACGGCCACGGCAAATGACAACATGTCAACATGTGCAGCTTTTGAGAGCCATTGTCATATTCGTTCAGCCGCGTTTTGCCATTTTCTTCCATTGTTTATCATCACTTTCCATCAATTTGTATCATTTTCCATCATATGTCACTATTTTCCATCATATTGCACCTGTTGCCACCTTTTTTCATCATGTTCATCATGTCTCCATAATTTTCATGATTGATCATATTTTTACATCCTCTTCCATCCTTGTGCATATTTGTCCATCACATCCATTGGTTTTCATAGTATGTATCATCTTTTAGTAGTTTCTATCATCTTTCATCATGTTCATCTTTGTTGTTTGCAAGTGTGGGGGGGTGGAGAGGGCTGCCCCGCCCCCCAAAACACCCGGCTTTTCTAAGGCTGTCCATGCTTGCCGTAGCACAGAAGCATCATGTCATCAACATGTTTGCAATAAGGGATTGTTATGCTGATATTTTGTTTGCAAAAGGCGGAGGGGGAGCTGCAAGCCCCCCACCCCCAGAAAAATTGTAAAAAGGTTGGTTCTGGTGCCTCAAAATTCAGTCAAATTGAGTTTACAAGTTATCCAATTCCCGCTTCACATCTCGAAGACATGAGCCCTAAATTAGATACCCTTTGAAATTTCGCAGTCCTAGACTTCAACCACCAACCCTAAATAAGCCCTAACTCCTGAGAGTCTTAGCGGTGTAGGGCTTGAACTACTACCTGCGACCCAAAACGCCTAAACCCTAAACCCTGGAGTTCCAGGGCTGCAGATACCGATTTATCCCATAGGGTCTTAAACCAAATGGTCTCAATAAAGTTAGTATACTAAAGGAACAGTATTTGCAATGTACCCATTGTATGGTAACTTAGTTGAAGGCGCTTAACGGCAACCTGGTCTTTCGGTTCTATGGCTCTGCCTTCACTCCTAGAGCCTTGCCATTAAACGGCTCAGGGCCTATGGTTTTAAGACACATGTATATGCCCATATATATACATATATGTATACGTTAAAGCACACAGGTATGGTAGTTTCCAAAAACGGGGGGGGGGTGAATTTTGTCTGCCTTCACATCAGCTTCTAAAAAACTACAAAGTGCCAGAGTTCATATGTTTTCATTTTCCCGCACAGGCAGCGGCCAAGTGCGTTGGCCGTACACCACTGGCTACGGATTGGGCCAAGGCGCCTCACATGTTTGTGGAGTACGCCTGCCCAAAACAGATCCGAGATGGGGTCTTTCTCACATGTGACAAGAGCACGATGATAGCGAGGCTTGGGTAACTTGTCGCGTTCCACGCTTGTTTCACAAGAGTAGAGGACCCATGCTGAATGGATCCTGCATAGCCGGTCCGCGACACACCTTCATACCTGAGCATTTCTCGTGCTCTGTTTCATTACCCAACATCGAGGTTGTAAGGATACTCAGCGGGTCGTGCCGCGACTCATACCTGTCTTGCATCACTTTGAAGGCTCTTGCGGCTGCTGGCCGTGCAATCCAGGCAGGCTCGTTGTGATTAATCGCGGGCGGCGTGGTGTCGACAACAGGGGTAACAGTCCTGTTGGTGTTTTTCATTGCTCTTGTTACTTGATCTCTTCACAGTCATTGTTATTGTTCTGCTTCGGTTTTTCACCTTCTATTTATCCGGATGGCATTGCTGCCGCTGCTTTTATATGGGCCTGTCGGGTATAGGCATCGGAACAGTGATGGTGCTGAGGTCGCTGCGGCTCCCCGGTGTCAAGACGTGTCTCCTGATTCAGGCGTATTTCCAGACTCAGCTTGTTTTTGGAGGAACAATCTGTTGTGCTCTTCCTGGGCCTTCTGTCGCAACTTTTGTGTGCACAGACGCGCATGCTAGTCCCAGAAGCTCTCAATCCTCGAAACCTCACGCTGAAACTCCGAAGTTACAGCCCTGGAAAGTGCATGCCCCCTGCCCCAGCATCCCATTTGTACGCTCTAAGCCCTGCTTGTTCCCATGCAGAAGCTTCAAAGCTTGTATCGCAGTTCATGAAGCCTGTGACTTTGCTGCAGCAGGATTACGGAGGCGCCAAGGCGGGTGACAGGACTGCTCGCCAGGAAATGTTGTGTGAGGGCTCGAGTCCAGGGTGCAGCAAATCAAAGAATTCAGAATGCAGGATTTGTGGGTTCATGGTCTGCAGTGTAAAGGTCAAGGGAACAGGGCTTCAGGTCATATGCCTTCATGGGCTTGGGTCCATTTCTTGTCATGGTCTGCAGTCTCCACATGTGCAAGTAGATGGCCATAACATTTTTTTGGGCCTAGGGCCTAGGGTCCTTGAGTCATTGAGGACCATTCTTGATGCTGTGCTACCTGCAGCAGAGGCCTGGGCCTCAATGGAGTAGCAGGTGCCATTTGTGAGCACTGCGCTGGTGTGAGATGGTACAACTGGCAGCGATGTGGTCCGCCCCACCTTGTAACAATTCTCCCGTCTCCTGCCTTGGATGCATCGATTGGATCACTGAGCCTGCCCTGTTTCATGGTGGCTGATGTTGCAGGTCACGCGTTCACGATGACACTTGGCCTTTGGCACATGAAGTAGGAGAAGTGTTTGGTCCCGTGTGTTGTACTCATGCCAGGATTCCCATGCAGCCCACCCTACGCCATAAAATCCTCACCCCAAACCTTCAATCCGATTATAGCACCTTGCACACTTCCAGCAAGGCCCTTCGTGCCCATGCGGAGTCGCCGGATGCTCTGGCGGCAGCATGCCTGGATCAGATCTGCTGTTGGCCTCCCTTGCTCAGTTTCAGTTTGTGCCGGCCCCTTGTAGAGCAGCTGTGCAGCAGGAAAGGGCGTCCTCTGTACAGGCAAGTCATTGCATTCAAAATCCTGTGCAACCTTAGGATTCCACAAAACTTGAAGTTTAAAAACGGATGTCATCTCAAATGTTTGCCTATGCCCTCTGAAAATCAGCCCGCTCCCCAACGCAACGGGCCATCCGGGCTTGAAGCTTTGTGCCTTCGGCCATCACTTGCTATGGTTCCAGCACGTGTAACTTGAAAGCAACCAAACTGAAAGCCGCAAGCAACCACCATGTAAGTGTTGGGGCTGTTCCACGCGCACTTTCTTAAAATCCTAGAAACCTGATAGCTTCGAAGCCCAGGAAGCCGTCAGGGCAGCAAAGCAGGGCGCCAAGCGAACCCAGCAGATGCTCGCCAAGAAAGGCAAGCGAATTCTGAGAAGTTTGATTCTGATAATGGTTGAGGGGGCAGTTCATGGCATCGCCAATGAGTCATAGATGTCACTATAGTGTTTAAGGCCCTTAGGGTTCAGGATTGCGCTAGCCAGGGACTGTCGCACTGCGCGGGTTTTGAGAAGAAGGCAGAGAGCATTACAGGTTCGCGGGTTGATGTGTCATGCGGACCAGTTGTCGGTGTGACTTTGACGAGTGTGACGGGGCTGTGGATCAGAGAATTACAACAAAAGAAGATGGCAAATGAGTTTCGAAAAGAATCCTACTCAGCCATTCCTGATCCTTCAGTCAAAACCGACTTCAACATGATTCTGCATGCGATGGTCTCAATATTATGCAGCAAACCTAGATGAAGCACCCTGCCTGCACGCACATCTTCCGGATCACTTGGCTCTCTCAGCCTTCCCATCGTTCCAGGACCCTAGGCCCTAGACTTGTTGCGTTCAAGTTGTGTTGTCAAGAAGAACAAGTGCCTTGGAGCCCTATGAGCCCTCTACCCTCTGGTGAGTCCAGTAGCCATTTTCCCCCAACTTTGCTCAGCCCAAGAAATCTCACCTCTTGTCCGCCAGGCCGAGCTGTTCACGTGCCACCCAGTCGGCAAGCGCGGTCACCTGACCCTGGCGCTGTCGGCTTCGCGAAGTGGTTGGAAGCCGTAGAGAGAGCGCTACGAGTCTAGGGGCTTGTAGGGTCCTCGGAGATTGAGTCGGAACGCGGACCAGATCAGATCAAATCTAGGCTGTTCAGATAGCGCCCAGCTAAAATCTCCAGCAGAAGCACCTGCCCAAAGTTGGCAGGAACAACTGTTTAGTTGATTGATTTGACACGTCTTATGTCTCTGAAGTTTAATTGCTCCACGGGTCCCATTGCAAAGGAACATTGGAGAAGTGGCAAAAGCTTGCGTTGGCTTTCATGGTCGTTCAGAAAGTCGATGCAGTAGAGCGGGACCCATCCTTTTCACACAATGTCTGAAAGGCCGACGAATCCCAACCCCTTTCGTCGAGTAACCCACTACCAACCAAGACTGCCCCAACAGGTTTTGGCACCATAATGGGAAAAATCGGTACTGGGGATCTTTCTTTAGGGGGAGGTGATTAGCAAGCTCCTGAAACTTCTGCATGTGACCATGGCCGCCGCGCTCTTATAAGAAAGCCTGTAGCCTTGAAGCCTCGGACACTGAATCCTAAGTGGGTATTTCTAAGGGGCCGCCGCTGCATACTCCAAAGCACAAGCATCCTTATGATAGGGGCTTCTATAAACAGGGGGCCCGGAAGTTCTTCAAACTTTCAAGTGTCATCGCTCGTCACTCTTGTTGGCTCCAAGCCTTCCCCCCGGTTGGCGAAAGGGACCATGCCGTGGGTGGACAGAGGCCTAGGGTTGCGAGTGGAAGTAAGCATGCGCCGAAATAAATCTATCTACGTAACTGCTCTTGAATGCTTGACCTGCGCGAGATCATACCTTCCCATTACAGATTGAGGGAGTGTTTTGGGCCGATGGTATTGTGGGCACATGGTTGAAGGTCTTGGTTTGAAGCTGTCGGTCTTTAGCAGTGTCCTTTCGGCTGAAGGCGGGGTGAGGGCTAGAGTTTGCGACTTATGCCTTGGAGCTGCGTCAGTTCTACTTCAAAGTGGAGGCATGAAAGTCACGAAAGCTAGCTTGTGGTAGCTCTGGTTTACGGTAGGTGCATGTATACGGATGAATTATTAAGTTGTTGAATCAATTGCTAAGGTTTGGGTTGGGGGGCACCTCCCCACCCCGCCTTAATAATTTCATTAAATCAATAGCAACCCCGCCCCCCAGTACGGCTTCAAAGAATTGATTAAAGGGGAGGGGTGCGCTTGCAACTGCATGGCTCCTTCCACTGCTGCCTCTAGCTTGCTCTGTTCTCGGGTATCAAATTTTGGCGCGCGCACGCACACTACACAATATTTGACCACTTATTCTCTGAGCAGGGAGCAGTCCCCCAATCCCTAATATAACCCTAAATTAGTTTCCATTTTACTTTTCCATTATCCCTATATAACCCCAATATATACCCTATAATCCCAATATTATAACTCCTATATGTTACGCAAAAGGTAAGAAAAAAACACTACACCGCAAGTGTTTCTGGCAAGATCGAGAAGACTTGCAGGGATGCGTTGCATGGGCAAACCCCATGGTGTCCTAGTCGCACTATATTGGGGATATATTGGGATAATGGAAACGAAAATGGGAACTCGTGTAGTATAATTGGGCATATACTGGTGTTGTATTGGGATAATGGAAAAGAAAATGGAGATTACTATAATGGGGTAAATAACAGGGTTGTATATTGGGATCAGTATAGGGATAATGGAAAAGAAAGTGGAAACCACTATAGTAGAAGGAAATCCTAGGTCTGTAGCTTCTGGCCCGGCCTCGTAGAGCCGTCATGCAGGGTTTAGACCGCCACCTGCAAGCCTCTTGAAAGTTGCAACGCTATATAACCCCAATATAAACCCTATTATACTATAGGAGTTTCCATTCTCTTTTCCATTATCCCAACTTTAACCCCAATATACACCCTATAATCCCTATATAACCCCTATATACCCTTTTTAAGGGACCTAGGGTTTCCATTTTCGTTTCCATTATCCCAATTTTAACACCCAATATTTTGCAGGCTTATGACTCCATCCGAGAGCGCTTCGTATGCCGAGGCAATGGGGCTGCAACCCGGGGAACCTAGGGTTTAGGGTTTAGGGTTGGGGAACCAATCCGATAGGGTGTATATTGGGATAATGGAAAAGAAAATGGAAACCCTAGGTCCCTTAAAAAGGGTATATAGGAGTTATATAGAGATTATAGGGTATAGATCTATTGGACCAGGGGCATGGCATTTAGGGCTAAGAGTTTCTTTTCGGGGTGCCTATCGCAGCTCTTCCAGTTTTCGACGTGAGAGCATGTACAGGCGGAGGAGGATGCAGAATCACAATGATAACTAAATTCAGAACAGCAATGAAGTACTGCACTAGGTATGAAAACGTCGCGAGCCTTCCCCATAAGAACGCTTGAGGATGTCCGGGCTGATACATGTAGCATATGTTCCGCCATAGTCTTAGGGCCCTATAGATTTCCAGCCCAAACTTTGGCCTGAAGCGTTAGAAGCGCAGTCCTGCAATGGAAGACCCTCAACCCCGAATCCCAAATCTCCCCTTAAAGCCATCAACTTCAAGTCCTGGATCCCAATACACAATTGGGCACCAGGCCCAACGGCTGGACGACTCAAGGAAGCCTTTCCAATCCAAAGTGGACAAGTGGGAAGGCCGCCGTCGTGAGACTGCGATCTGAAATCTAGCTCATGTAAAGTCTCTCCATGCAAGATGTCAGGGGTGATGCTTTCGGTTATGCAATGAGCAAGGAACAACACAGGATTTGCCGCAATTAGCGCGGTGAGAGCACTGATGTTTGCATGAACCCTGGTAGCAATGAAGCACCTCACTTGACAAGCGGAACCTCGTTGGGGGCTGGAGTGGGACCATGCGGCTGGGACATGAGCTTCAGCACAATGCCTCAAGATCTGGGCTACAGCGGCTACAGACTATAGGCCAACTCAGACGCCGACTTCAAACAGCAGGATGTCACCAGGATGCCTGGACGGGTCTTTGGGTAGCAAGGTAATTACTTGGAAGAGGGTGCTGGATCAGGCTGTACCTGTGTCATTGTTTTCAGATGTTTTCAGTTTCCGTGACTTCGGCTTGCACAGTGAACTTGTACTTCCTGAAACGATGCCGACTACTTCGATGGGGAGTCAATTGGAGCTCAGCCCAATCAGAGCGCAAGACATGTTGATGAAATCCAGTGGCGGAAGGGTGTCAAGACCTTAGTAGATTCAACCAGCTACTGAATGTCAAAGGCAGATCGTGGTGATGATGCAGGAGTAGCAGGAGCCGGAGCAAGCTGCAGCTGCAGAAGCAGCATGCTGCTGCTCTTGTTGTTCCCTGATTCTATGGATCCAAGTATGCTAGAAGTCTAGAGCTCATCAAGCCAGAGTTTGTTGAATGTCAATAATATGACAAGCATTGTGAGAAGAGAAGCACGCTTTGCCAATTTTGGATCCCCTTCTTGAACCGCTTGAATGGAAAATTCCTTGTTGTGAGGATACCAAATTTGCACCATAGGATTCTGCCGCATCCCCAGATCGTGTGGCCTGTGTCAGGCTCCGGGTTCGTCTGGTCGTTCTCTATCCTAGGACCAGGACCGGCTGAAACAGTCACTGATGAGAGTCTACCGGGGTTCTAGGGTTTGGGATTTGGGATTTAGGATTTTGGGTTTGGGCTTCAGGTTTCTGTCTATGTGTTAGCTGTAGCCAAGATTCCTTGAGAGGTAAAGGCTGTTTGCCTGTCAAGCAGATCCTGACTTGGGAGGACTCCTGGTGTGTTTGGCCGACACCGATGCCGGATGCCTCCTGGTAGCCGGCCAGTCTGGCTCCAGGCCTGCCGCATTTCAGGTGGAAACATAATGTTGGTAAGGGAAAGTGAACGTGACTCCCAACATATTCCATTAAGATAGCCCCCCCCACTTCCTACAGTATCAAGCACCAGTAAGGGAAGAGTCAGCGTGAAACTGATGGTGGTCCATAGGGACTAGCACGGGCAGCAGTCCTAAACGTGGCATGGCTAAGAGATGCTGGCAGATGGAGGCTATTCTCAAATGCCGTAAGATGCTAAGAAATCAGTGTGATTGGGAGAGCACGTTGGCCTGGCGCTGATTCATGATGATGATTATGATGATTATAATGATGATGATAATTTGTTTCATCCGAAGTGGCCATGCATGTGTTTCAGGGTTAAGGCTGTTTTGGTTGCCTCGTTCTCTGCGTCAGTGGTCAAGTGCATCTGCGCCATGGGGACTTATAGCGCCGCGTCTGACGACACACAGGTGTGATCGTCGTAGGTCCTGCACACCGCGTCTCTGAAATCCTCTTTGTCTGGAACTCCAGTGCCTCCATCACTTGAAACATGGGCTTTTGCACCTCGAAGCCTGGTGTAAATACTTAGACGGCCTCCTCATATTATGGCAGTCCCAAGTTGCAAACTTACAGCGAATAGCATAACCTAACAATTCCAGAGTATTCTTGCTTCACGGCTTGTTCCCTCTAAAGTTACATGAAGTTCCGCCACAACTGCAAGGTGGGGCTATGCGCTGTTGCCTCTGCAGGCAGTGTGCTCACTAGTCAGGATAGCTTGTTAAGTGAGGTTTAGACCAACGGGCTTGGAACAAGGCCTAGTGGGGTCTAGAAATCAATAGACAGACATCAGGCTTGGCAGGGAGGGTTTCACCCAACGCACGCCCTTTTCAGTATCCTTCGTTACAGTCTGGATCACTTAGTCTCCGGAGCCGGCAAAGTCGTGGGGGGTCATGTCAAGAAACTGTGAGCTGGAAGATATCTGTGGCGGGGATAAAATTTTGTTGCTTGACAAGCTGTAGGAAATCGTCAAGTTCCCCCTACGGTAGCTCTCATTGGGGGTGTCCCGAAATCAGGGGTAGTTCTTGTGGGGGTCCCAATGATTATGGTTATAGTATGTTGGGTTATATTGAGGTCCCCTCATTCATCAAACATGCGCATTCAAGTGAAGCTCAAATCCCTTAGAAATGACTGGGAGCCTGTTCAGCAAAATGGCCACCAACCCGCGAGACCCATAATCGGTCATTCTCGGTTGTCAAGCCACGCATTTCCCAAATGCAAGGTATAGGAATAATAGGAATAGTGGTAATAGTAGTAATACTAGTAATGATAGCGATAACATGAAGAAAGGGTTAAAAATGCTAACAACATGTCTGTGGTGATTGTCTGAAGCCTCGAGCGCATGAGAGGAAGAGGCTGCGTAAGGAGGTCTAACAACAGAAGCAGTTCTTTTGGGCAGGTCCTGCTGATCCCGGTCCTCTTCATGGCCCAGGCACAGCAAGCCATTTGAGTGAATGTTGAAGCTTGGTACCTACTGCTGAAGTAGCACCCCTATCAATAGTTCTCAAGTTTTGGCACGCAGCAGACCTCGATTCAAATCGCATTGTGTCTTATTAAGTGCCATGCAAACATCTTGAGGGATTCGCAGCTGCAGCTTCCATCCGCTGTGTGAATGACCATGTGGCTGGCATTCCTGAAATTCTGAGCCTTTTTGTCTGTCAGAATGTCCTTTAACGCCGTTGGATACTTCTTACACAATTGAAGATGCGCCACGGGCGCAGCCTTGGGCAACTCTCTTGGTTGTCTGGGGTTTCGCTGCAGGACTTAACGGTCCGACTCGGTGTCTGCACGCAGCAAGGCCCTGGTGCAGCCGTTGGATTTCGCACGACCAGGGCTCCCGAGAAAAAGGATGATAATGTTTTGGTTCAAGGGAGAGCCGCATTTCGAGAAGCGTGATGGAGTCACAGCTTCGAGAACTCGTAATTGGGCGAGCCCTACTCAGAGCAGCAACATCTGTACTGCACCCGGCAATTTGACTGTTGCGATTTTGCATCTGATTTTAGCGCAAGAGTGGGATGCTCAGAGTACTACATCTTGTCGTACACATCACTCGAAAGATCCATGACTCTCAATGTCAAGATGGCGTCATCAATCGAAATTCCCACCGTGAAGGTCCTATGTCTAGCACAACTGGATCTGGCCTAGACGCAAAACCCTGGATCCCAACATCCTCAATTTCAGCCCACACCACCCCTCACTCATCTCGGTACCACGCCTGAACCCTGAATGCCGCAGGCCACAGTGCTTGCATCCGCGACCACTTCGGCCGCGGATGGTGCCTAGGGAGATTTCTGAGTGCAGAGGGATTCTAGGATGTTATGACGGCCGGCCAGCTAGGGCAGAATTCGTTATGGACCCGCCGCCATGTATGCTTTGTGGCACCTTCATGGCAGGCTGTTAACCATTCTGTGAACATGGGATGCCCGTTCCTGGAGTGCAGAAGATTCGGAGATGGTGTTGGCTCTTGACCATTGTTGACATGGGCCCAACACATCCGAGAGTTGGCCTGCCAGACATTGTCAAGCCCTGACCGCAGCCCGTTCTGTAAGATTGGCCACGCCATGAGGCTTGAGTCATGATTCTCATAGCAGGGTGCTTGCGGAGTTGCGCACTTGTTCTGTGTAGGACAGTTCGCAAAGCAACTCTCAGGCATTCAGGTCCCAATGAGTTTCCAACAAGTGATGCGCGGTCTGCATGCTAGTTCAACAGACAAACATCCGATCATGAGTGACAACGGAAAGCAGTACCACTAATTACCGATTTCCTGAAGATGGCAGAGGTGCTGGTTAACAACCGCCCTCCTGATTGCAGAGTGCATCATCGCCATGGTCTCCGAGATGGCACATCCTTTGCATGAGAGTCGGGCTGGCATATTGGGGTTTTGGGGCATAAAGGCTTTAAGTCAAAGGCTTAGGGCTTGCCATCAAAAGGCAAGACCCACACTGTACTGGAAAACCACAAACAATGATTCAGAAGAAGCCGAACTTGGACGAGGTCAATGGGCGAATGAGCTTTGCGAGTTGCTGAAGGGTATTTATGGAGAGATTTTTGTGGGGGCCAGCGACCAAGCCAGGCTGCTCAAAAAAAGGCGGTTTTATTATGTTGGGTTCAAGGCGGCGCTGTTGCACTGGAAATTGGCTCAGGTGTGTCTGGGCAGTTGAACAAGCGTATGAACAATTCCTGGAGCCTTAAAACTGGCCTGATCCCGACGCAAACCCCGCAGCTGCAAGTCCTCATCATGTGGATTCCACACTACTTTGGGTGAGCTTGGTTACTGTACACGCCTAACCCCTGAGCCCTCAACCCCTCGATAGAACCCTGAGTGCTAAACCCCCACTACTAGCACCTCTAAAGATCTTTAACCAAAATCCACAACCCCAGTCCCACACCTGGAGAACCTCGATCCTAACCCCACTTCTGGCACATGCCTGCTTTGCATCCTGCGCAGAGCGGCGTCGCAGCAGTCGGCCGACTCTGGGGACTGCGCTGTGGGGGGGTTAGAGTTTGGGGATTTCCTGGGGTTTAGAGCTCTTAGACTTGAAATGGGTTACACGCAGGGATCTATAGGCATACGGCATATACATTTAGCCATATCTGCTCATGTATGTAGAGTTCGGGGTTTATATTACATATATATATATATACAGGTTCCATTCCATCATTAGGCTTTTATTGAATTAGATGAAGGTAGAGATTGAATCGGACCATTTCGTTGTAAGATTTTTAGATTTTTCCGGGCCGGTATTGGGCTCGCAAACAGTAGGGCCCGGCTTGGCAGTCAATACAGTACAGTTTCAGGAAGACGTACCTTGGGGTGTTCTGGCATTCTAGGGGTTAATGGCTTAGATGTAGCAAGGGAGGTGCCGAGCAGGAGATGTGTCATCACAAAGCAGGTCCGGTTGAGATTGAAGCAGACATGCATATGTTGGGCATCTGGCGAAAAGATCCCCCAAACTACAAAACAGAATCTCAAATGAAAGGCCCTGCAGTTCAGAATTCCGAGAAACAGTGACCGCATACACCACCAATACGAACCTGAATATCCAGCCCCATGGTCAAGCGAATGTGTTGAAGCAAAGCCGAAAGCAGTTCCTTTGAAAACAGGACTCAGCAACTTTGTGGCTGTCGTGTTGGCAGCTGTTGCTCCAGCCTCAGATTTCAGCAGAGTCGCGCAGCGGACCCTAATTGCTCCATTGCACCTCGTACGCCAGGGGCTGGGTTTGCGGGATGTGCAGATCACTGGGAAGAAAGCTTCCGCGGCGCAGAAAAGCCATCCGGGGCCTCGATATCATCAGGATGAACCATGATGAATGCCCTTCGGTTTGGGCTTTGTGCGTACTAACTCTGGATTGGCAACAATTATGGGTTAGAGCCCATGAAACACATCGCGGTCCCCGACCCACTGGTCTCTTGACGTGTGATGAGGCTTCAGCAACATGTAACAAGTGATGTTAAATATGCTAATCAGTAATCCTGCTTCTGGGTACGTTGGCATTTAATGAGGCTTGGCCCAGATCCTCGAAGAATGGACTTCGACGGAACTTCCTTAGCTAACATACAGTTCAACGGGCTTCAGGCTTTGGACTCCCTTTCTGCATCTCAACACTGTCCTTTACTTGGCATCTAAGAGGTGGGCAAAGTAGAATCAGACGATAACTCGGATTTGACGAGGTCATCCTTGCTGCCGTGGTCGGCCTGCGCTATCGACAAATCGAGGACAATGAGCTGCAAGACACAGTCTAGGTGGCAGGCAATGTCCATGGCTTGGAGAGCACTAGGCTGAACTTGGAATCATACCATGCAAAGATTATGTCGAAACTGAATTGGACGGGGCATGTAAAGCGTCAAGATGGGCCACATCGGAAGCTTGTGCAGCGCCGGCAATGTCCACGGCAAATCTTCCTTTACCCAGGGTCAGACGAGGTCACGCTTGACTACGTCTGGCATACGGCAATGTGAGCCTGTAGACAAGCACATGTCACAGAGCATGTTCGCGTCAAGTTTGCTTGTTGTGAGCTTTGGAGATCGCATTTGCTGTTGTTGAGAGCATACTGCCAGTGCAGAAGAGGCATTGGGCATCAGCTTCGGCCTGTGCGAGCTCGTTTTCGCCTCTGCCTTGGCTGGCAGTTTGGGACTTTGGGACATTCGTATGCTACCCTCCGGCGTTTTTCTTCCCAGGGTGTTCCCTGGACCCATGGCTACTGGGGCTCAGAATCATACTAGATGATTTCATCCAGCCATTAGAAGGCGAAAGCAATTCCGCAAGCTTACCGTTAGTGGACTGCAGCGTGCTGCGCAGATGTGATGGGAGCCTGGAAGATCCGATCGGGTCCCAATGGTTGAGCTTTGTTGTTTCTATCCACAAAGAGGAGCAATCTACAAGCACTGTTTTTATAGCGTGGGATTGGCGTAGGATCCCCAATGGTTGAGCTTTCGCCTACTTTCTGCTGGCATGTTGGAAATGGCGACATGTCACTGACCTGCACCGCCCACCTGCTCATTTCAGGCAAAGTTAGTAGTGTCAGTTATTGTGTATTTCAAAAATCAGAAGACCCGTGGGAATTCCTTTTCTCTCTTTGGCACCCAGAGTAGCAACAGTTTGGCACACTGAAGACGAAGCAGCTCTCAGCACGCTGAAGAAGTAAACATTTCCATGTTAGCCCTTTCAGCCGTTATTCGGCATGGCTAGACTTAGACCTGATATAACCTGATTAGCACGACTCACCGTCTTAAGGCTTCCCTCCCCCCTTCGCCCGATCGGGTCCTTCGGTCCGGCCATGCAACCGCGGCCCAGCCAAAGTTTTACCGTGCGCGCCCGCAGCCTCTTCCACAGGTGGGAGCTTCATAAGCTGCATTTTTCTCCCACGGAACACGTAGATCCGTTGCCGCAGTTCAAGGGTGTCGCTTACCTTCGTTCACAGGACGCGGGCCAGAACCGAGGATGCTGCTTGTCTGGCAATAGGCAGATGCATGCCGAAGGCTCAAGGCAGGTTGTGCTTCATGTTTCGACTGTCGGTTAGGCTGTCGAGATCTTTTCCCAGTTCAGACCTGTAAAACACGCACAGCGCACATTCAGGAAGCATCCAAGTTACACAACCTCCGTGCAACAAGGCACAGCCTGAAAACATCAGAACGGCTTTTTTTGGAAGCAGCCAGTCTTTGGGTCCAGCTGGCTTACTCAAAACCCAGCAGGGTCTGTATCTCCAGCCTTTGAATCCACCTGAGCCTCAGCCCGCTGCTAAGGCGCTCAGTCGCTTGCGCCTGCGAGGCCTTGGGGGATGTTTTGGCTTGGCGCAACTACAGGGATATGAGATTTCTCCAGTAAATCCACATGCAAACGTTCTGGATGGCGTGTGCTTCTGACAAGCAAATTGGTTGTGGGTGGAGGTACTACATGTTCGGTCCTTTGAATTGGTACTAATGAACCGTGGAGATGTAAGTAGGCTGCAGTAGCTGATGGACTTGAACGGTTTGTCGATCATGCTTCTCACTCATGGCCACTGCATAAATTGCTACAAGACAGCTAGACACCCATCCACCGGAAAGCGTGCCTGCTGCAAAGACCAGTTTGAACAGCAGCATCTGAAGACTAGCTAGTGCCAAGCCCTGCTATGCAATCCATGCACAAAGCAGCATTCTTGAAAAGGCATTACCCGCATCCACTCCGATTTGGAAACGGAGGCCTGGCTTTGAATGCGAGGAGGGCTGCATAGGTATTCTACGTGGATCAAAACAAATGGCTCACAGAGATCCCCAAATCCATGTCTCACCATGTCTGAGTTAACATAGGCCATGCCCGTTGGGTATAATATGGCACCACCCACCCCACAACCTAAGCTCACAATATGAAAAAAATCCTATTCACACTCTAGAACCCCAATACCCAAAACGGGAATGCCCTGCTTGTAGAATTTGGTTCAGGGTTTAGGGTTCGGGGCACAGGCAAGCAGCTCCGCCAGACGTAGAGAGATTTCGACAACGAAGGACCGATGCTTTGGCAAGGTTTGCTGAAGTGTGAGTGCAAAGCAATTCTGATGGGAAGTGTGCTCATCGTGCCCATGCTACGAGTTTGACTCTCATGCTGTTTCAGTGTAGTTTCTGTGATGAGACAGCCGCTCGAAACCAGTGTAGTGGCAGGAAAGTTTCGGATCGGTCGACCTTGCATGTGGTGCGTCTCCTGCAGCTGCAAAGGCTCAGGATTTTGCACAAGATGGGCCATCGTCGCTGCAGCATTCTACTTGTTGCGGTCATCTTTGCGCGGCACAGAAGTTCCGTGCATTGCCTTTTGACCGTCGGTCCAATTGGTCATCGATGCCGCGCCTCGGCACGAGCAGCGATTGCTGCAGATTCGGTTCTGTAAGCAAGTAGTCAAGTGGAGGACACAGAAATGCGCAACGAAGCACTTCAAGCGTATTTCGCGCAGAAAGACCTGGAGAAAGACCTCGAGCAGAAAGACCTCGAGAAGGAGCTCGCGCAGAAAGACCTCGAGAAGCAGCTCGTGCAGAAAGACCTCGAGAACATGCGCAAAGAGCTTCTGCAGGCAAAGGGGCCTTCTGACAGCACGTGGGGTTTATGAACGCGTGGCGCAGCAAGCTTGGGACGAGCAGAAGAACGCGGGGAAGGTCAAAGGCGGATGCAATGTAGCCAATTCACTTGCAGCGGCAGCCAACTATCCTCAAGCCGGCCGTTGGTCCCAGCTGCTGCATGACGTTGCACAGAAGTGTGACGCCCAAACGGATGTAGAAGAGGTGTTGCTCCAGGTGTGGCGCGACCTTAGCCAGCAAGTGCACGGCTTTCCATGGTCTGACCCAGAAGTGAAGACTGACAGCTCGTTGTCCGAGACGGGGACGTGCATTGCGCAAATGGCTTGCCGCGAAATAGGTCTGAGGACAGACACAGATACAGTTTGAGGAAGTTTCACACCGAGAGCGCCAACGGCTCGCTGAGCACATGAAAAAGGATCCAGGCGCCCGAAACAGTTTGTTGGAACAAGCAGCATGCGAAGGAGCCATGTAAGCCCACAAGGTCGAACTCAATGCAGATGTGGTGAAGCGTCACAGATCACATGAACACCCATACAGGAAGAGACCACTCTCAGTCCTTGGCCTGTGTTTTCTCAATACCCGCGAAACCTGACGTCGTGGTTTTTGCCATCGTTTCCTGAACATGTAATGACGCGACTTGTCGTTTCCTCGGCCTCATTCCACTTCGGGTGCGGTAGATTGGGGCAACCTTGGCACAATGGTATCAGATGCAGAGAGAAGAGAAAGGAACAGAAGAAAACGAAGATTGTGACTCAGAAGTCTGAAGCTCAAGAAGTTTTTGATCACATTCACCAGCTGCTGATGGATGATCTGTTTCTGGAGAACTACTTTATGATCTTTGGAAAGCGGAAGGATACAGTAATTATTGAGATACCTGTTCCAGAAATAACAAGTTGATTCTTCTTATACAGTGATACTATACTGTAATTATAATACATAAGCAGTTATAGATTATACTTATATTACCGTTATAACATTCTTGGAGAATCCGAGAAGATTAAACGAGTGCTTAACCCTTAACCCTGAACCAAACTCTACAAGAAGGACATTCCCGTTTTGGGCTATGGCACCACACGTAGTGTGATGGAACTTCGTAGAAAATTTACCTAGGTACATAGGAGTATTGGTGCTCTAGAATGTGAATAAGTTTTTTTATATTGTGATCTTACGTTGTGGGGTGGGTGGTGCCATATACCCAAAACGGGAATGGCCTATGCTAACTGTCTGGCCCCCAATACATAAGCACGACGAGACCTCTTGTAGCTGGCTTCCGTGTTGTGCACCTGACAATTTTGGAGAGAGCGGAGATGGGGGAGAGAGAGAGAAAGGGAGCGAGAGATCTGTGCTGTACACAAAATTTAAACTGGAAAGCCCTCTATTTAGTTAGAGTGTAAACGTAAGGCCCGCCTGAGGATATGCGTTAAGGGATTACCTTATCCCAAGCTATTGTGACAATACATCGAAAGGCGACTGTTGGCAACCCCGTGACCAAGTCCAATCGCCTCCAGTGCTATGTAGGGTCTCCTGCAGCCAGCGTCTTTTCGGTTACACTAGCTAGGCAAGACCCTACAACGGTAAGGGGGAGTTCTCGGGGAGAGCCTAAGCATTCCCCCCAGCGCCCGTACGAAAATACGAAAGAAAGGGAGCCTACCTTGGACCCATCAGAAAGGTAACTTCTGAGCCCTATATAACCTGAACCCAACCTAAAACGCGAATTTGAGAGCCGTGGAGGCAGAAGGCGGGCACACGCGAAGGGGAGCAGCTTGGCATTCTGAGGGGCTTCGAAGTCAGTTTTGAGAGGGAGCTGTGGCACGGTCGTTTCAGGAGCATCGTGGGAAGCTTGGAGAAGTTGAGAGGCAAGGCTTTCTTGGCCAGTGCCAACCAGAGCTTTCGCAACAGTGGTGAAGGGCCGAATTAAGAACAGGAACGCGGCTCCAACTTGCAGCCCAATCCATTACACGATCACAACTTGCATCTCTTTCCTGCACATGACGGCTAAATACCGCTAACTTGTGATGTGTTGGGATCATTGTTTCCCTGGTTTTCGGCACACGAAAGCCCGGCAATTGCCATCAGCGCCCTCATCTCCTGAAAAGCCACCGAAGTCGACCAGGAAACGAAAGACACAAGAATACTAGTAATAATGATGTACTAAAACATCCGAAGGCGAGAAATTGCCCTCCTTGAGAGCGACGAGCGCCCAGATAATATCCATGAGTCCTTACAAACCGAAAACATCCTAGACTCCTTTACACCACCTTGAAACCCTACAACTTAAGCGATGAAGCCCACAAACCCTGGGCCCAAAACCCCACACTCAACACCTATAGTGAATCCTATATACCTTGATGAATTTGAGCCCCGCACACCAAGGCCCGGCGTGCGACCTCGCCGCTCCTTGTAGCGCTCCCAGGCACCTCCGGTACCACGCGGCTTGGGCCGCAATGCCTGGAGCTGCCCAAACCTGGCTTCAAATATCCTTACTTGCAGAGCTCCCCAAAACAGCACATCTTGCCCAAACCCCAAGTATCCGAAACCGCAACGACACAGCCAGGAATAAAACAGGTTCGATGCTCTTGGCCGCTCGCGCCGGATGATGCAAGCAGCAGTTACGTGGGAAGCGGTGATGGGATTGAACGATGATGCATAGCACCACGGAAACTTCTTTCCGTTATCATGGAAAGATTTTTGGAAAGTGGTTGGCTCTGAGATCTAGAGCTATGGGCGCATGAGACGTTGCATCTTTCACATCTGCGTCTCCTAAACGTTTGGGTTTGGTCTTAGACGGCATCTTGTCAAGCTTATTGTCAAGTAGAACCTTGGGGTCGGGATTTGAGGCGGAGGTTGACACTGAGCTCTGGGCATGCTACAACGACAGAGGGATGGTGATAACGGAGAATCAAATAGAAAAGGAAATGGAAAATGAAATGGGAGCTACTTGGGTTTAGGGAACAGGGATATCTCCCAATAATGGAGAATCAAATGGACAAGAACACGAAAAATGAAATGGAAACTACTATATATAGGAATGACAGGAGGATTAAACAGCTATACATATACATATATATATATGAGAAGAGATATGTGTATATATAACACGGTCTTTAGGGTTTACTTGCATTGCCAACGGACAATGGCAGGAATCTACCTAGGTTGGTAGTCTTTTCCAGAACTAGCGTGGCTACATGTGGGAAAGTAGTTTCCATGTTTCTCGCTTTCTACATACCTCTGTATATATATATGTATATGTACATAATGATTCCATATCTTTGCATAAGTACTGCTGATTAGTATCCATCTTCTTTCAATAGATACTATATCATATACTGGCTTCTATCTTCTTTCCCCTTACCTGCTATGGATGGCGAGAAACAGGAGCTAACCAGATTGTACAGTGTTTTTCTATGTCTTTCTCCTATAAGTTGTTTGCATGTTTGTATTTTCCATGATCTTTACACAGGGTACACTCTTAGAGTGTATTGATATGTTTGCTTGCTCTTCTCCATGAATCCTCGTTTCTTTGTCGAATCCAAGCTCCTAAACCAAGGTATCCGGCGCTGCCAGCAACATGGTGGAAAGTGGATATCTGCAGGGCTTGTGACGGATGGAGACATTGTGAGTCTTAGGTATATGACGAGCTTGGGGCTTGGTACAGTACTACATAATCCCGGTTTCCATTTAGTTTTCCACGTTCTTTTCCATTTGATTCTCCACTATAACCCCAACATTATATGATGAGCTTGGGGCTTGGTACAGTACTGAGGATTGTCATTCATTAAGATGGCACAGAGATAAGCACTCGCCTGCATCTATCCGAAAACCCTGCGCAACCCCCTTGCTGGCTGGGGATAGTAAAAAGGGAATGTAATCCCGACATAATATCTTCCCTTAGTCCCTACTAACCACCAGAAAGCTTGAGGGAGTATGTGGAGAACGGATCTGCCTCGATGCAGAGGGCCTAAGACACCTGAGCTTGCCCTATTTCTTTAAGACCTAGCTTGAGCTAGCTAGCAAAGCTTGCCATGTTGGGGTGCAACAAACTGTGTCCATGCTCGCTTGAGCAGAATCAGGGAATCAAATTAAATGCTCATTATTGACAATCGCCTTCCATGCGCTTGCCGCAGATTTGAGAAGCCCAGCATTAAAGCCCACATAATTGCACAATCTTCCATTTATAATTACATCCCCGCCCCTCTCATACTGAAAAAAATCGTAGTCAGGATTCCCAGAAACAAGGCAAACCTGCAAAACCAAAAACCCTTTCCGCCATGCGGCACCCTTAAATAAATAGCCTTTTGACGCCACACGCGAGCCATGAGCGGCTCTAAAATCCGTCGTCCCCTGAAAGAAGTGTTACCACGACACCAAGCGCCAACACTATAAACGCCTCTCACAAGCTTGCCAAGCCCTACATTCCCCTGCTAGCAAACCCCAAGCCAGCCCTGCAAAGAAGCTCTCAGGTAGCTGCTGCGGTGTCTCCTCCGCGGCGGCGCTCAGCCATGCTTTGGGAGCAGCCGCACCAGCTGGACCGTAGAGCGGTCTGTGGATGATCCTAGAGATCATAATGATAAGCGTTGCTTGTGGATGATTGCTGCAGAAGGTTTACCATTGAGTTTGCTGGTTAGGCAAGCTACCGAGGGAGCAGGATTGCGCTTGTGATTCGTGGGATGTATGAGCTTTAGTTTATGTGCAGGCCTAACCTGACGATTTACAGTTCTGGGGCTTCGTTCGTGTTAGGTGCGAGCTCAGAATTCTTGAGTTCAAATACGATCCTCCAGGCCATGGTGTAGCGACCGATATATTGGCAGTAAGTCTAGTGGCAACGGTTTCGGCGGGTTTGGGGCGCAGACCTTGGGATCCAGAATTGAGGCCAAGGTGGCTCAAGGAGGAAGGCTACATGTTTAATAGGGTATATATTGGGGTTATAGTCCCCCTTAAGTAAATAGAATATTGAGGTTATATTAGGGTAATGGAAAAGAAAATGAAAAGTACTATATTATAATATTGTTCATAAGAAGGAGGCATTTGAACTAGCAGCTATGTTTCCTTGCAACAAGGTTGTGTCATGTTGTGTCTAGCTTTGGAATTCATGTTCGCAGTGAGACACGGGCTAACTTTAGGCTTTCCAGCGCATGAACTAAGATAGGTTCCTGAGAAATTCTCCACCAGCAACGCTCATCCCGGTGATCCCAAAATGCAAATCGCAGGAAGAGCTTCAGCAGCCGCCCACCAAGAAGCTTGGCCTCATGTTGGTTGCACGTGGCGGGTTTCTAATGTTTCTATGGTAGTTTCATGCCGGACTGCGAAGGATTTTTCACACGCATTTGTCAAAGCGTTGTCAACAGGATTCCTGGCTTTTGACGGATTTTTCGGGAGTTTGCAGGTTTGGTGTCTTTGTCGTTTAGGAGGGGGCCGCTTGCAACCAGAGGCTCGAGAAGTTGCAAGTCCCTGGTCATTTTCAGGGTGAACATTGTCGTTCTTAAGTACATTGCCAATTACATTGAAACGTGCCCCCAGTATCATTATCAAGCATTATAGCTCACAACGTCAAGGCCTCATTCACGTCCCCAGCTAGCTCCTGTACTGAAAAATCCTCGTTCGAATTATTGTGGTCCCCAAGGGGATGCTTAGCGACAGTTCTTCTAGTAATACAATTACAATGATCGATTACCGGATGGGCATCTTAGAGCCAGGACAGCGAGGCGACTATATACTAGTTTCCATTTGTTGTTCCATTATCCCTTTTTCAACCCAATATACTTTCGGAGACGCTGCACTGGCTGTTGACGAGACCTGTTGCTTTGCGATGGAAATTGGGAGTGCTTCTTTGGTGCTGCCCGTCTGCAGAACCGAAGCGCCCGCAATCGAAAGCCTCAAGATCCCGCAGGCCCAACACCCCACAACTTTGGAGGACCCCCCACCCTGTAATAGTGGTATAATAAGAATATAAGAGGACCCTAATACAATCCCTATTATCCCTTATAGTCACTATTACTGGGTGGGGGTCCACCTATAACCCAGAAGCCAAAGGCCAGGGTGCAAAGTTTTAGACCATAAGTCCAGGAAGACAATGGGCTGGGTGCAGCCTGAAGATCTGTTTCTTGGAGCATAGCAGCAAGGGTCTGGGCTGAGAACATGGGGGTTATGTTGGGGGTACATTGGGAAGTTTCTTCAGAGTGCAAGCTTTTAGTATGCAGTCTGATTCCTCGAAGTTTGGGGTTGTGAAGATGGTCAGGTTACAGATGCATAGTCGGTCCTGATGGCAGCTGGTTGGGTTGTCTTCAACAAACTTGCGTGTTCAAGTGACCTGCCATTGCATTGGCGCTCTGGGTAATTATGCCAGACGACCAATGAAATCTCAAAATGCTATCCAGCTCGCATCGCCTTACACAGCCGCCCTGATCCCCACCCCTCCTGCCAGGCTCCCAAGCGAAGCAAGCAAAGATCCCCGAGGCGAGGGCCCCAGAAGGCAGATTAAGGTTCTGAGAGGAGGAGGCATGAGACTCGCGATCACATTGTAGCCTGCTGAGAGAGCCATGAGCGTTGCACAAGGTTTGCAAGCCTGACTCTTCCTACATGGCCAAGACGTTGAAGACCGGCACCCTATGCAAGTCCTGTCCCATCCCCCAACTCGTAAGGCCAGCAGAGCAGTTGCGAGGAGGACGGGGAGGGAGCCAGTAGCTTCCTCACCGTAAGCCCACCCTGAGGTCGAATTGCAAGCAAGAATGAAGTGTATCTTGAGTCTTTAAAGGACAATGTCTCCGAGGGCTTTCAAAACTACATATGACAATGTCTATTAAATCGTCTTCCTCAGATCTCCTCAGCCATCAGGTTCAGGGGCAGATCGCGATTTTTGAGAGCTGGCTCTGCTTTCGAGGAATCTCCTGGCGATCAGCACTGAAGGGACTCCGTAAGATTTCGCTGCACCTCTGAATCCATGATGACTTTCCGCAACGCACATCAGCTGCAGGACTCGGACGACGACTTGCCTATGGTCACCAAGTGCATTGAGAACGGCTCGCAGGCCATTTGAAGTGCATCAAAACAGGGATCCCTCATTGGGCACCCTTAGCCTCACTTAGACGAAGGATTTCAGCTTGGAGGATGAGTGCAGCAGGCAGACCAGCCGACCTAGCCTTTTAAGCAGCTGATGCTTGGGGTTGACGATGATTCCCTCAACCTGAAGAGTGGCCTGTATTAGGAGAGGGACAAAACCGCAGCATGACATGTTCCAGGGGTGTGTGGATTTTGAGATTCTTTTGGAGGTCGTAATTCGGGGATTGTACGCGCAGCTGGCTTGTAAAGTTAGCGTGATCATTCCGAGGAGAAGGGCTTCCATGGCTTCCATGCATAAACACCTCAGGGGGCCCTGCGCGCAGGTTAAGAGCCGATGGGAGGATTGGCTGGACGTGCGGGAAATGCCTTTGATGACGTCGCGATGGCTGCAAGACGTAGGAGTACCACAGAACCCATCTACCTGGCAGCGCATGAGCTCATGAATAGACACAACAGATTGGGGAGAGGAAGAGTATGTGTGTGTGGTTCATGGTAGAGCGCTTGCTCAAAGGTTGAGGCCAGGTGGGCGTGAAGTGAGTCTTGCATGGTGTTCAAAATCTTGTCAATCTGACACGCCCTTTGATCACACATTGTGCCCAGGCGAGTGTCTGCCAACGGCGCAGACCAGCGGTACAGGCTAGCAGTCCATGTTGGATTCGGCCAGGAGCTTGTTCTTGCACATGTGTTCCGGCTTCTCGGCTTCTCGCTTGGGGCTAATTACTCCGTTGAGTGAGATTCTTGAAACAGCGCTTGTTAGTCAATCTATTTCATGGCGCAACCACAATTTTCAGACTCCAAGACCCGCCATGTGCAAAACGTCAGGACAAGAACAGGGCCTTGCTCCTCAGGTAGCTTTGCAACTGAGAAGCCCATTAAAAAGTAATCCCCTCCTCCCAACACTACCTCGCCACCGACCCAAATGATGAAAATCATATCATCAAGAGGTAGAGCTTACGGGTCTATGGAAAAGGGGACGGGATCAGCTTCATGATTCTCGTGAATTGCTGTATTGTGTACGAGGAGGGCTTTCTGCGTTCGCATAACTTGGCACGCTACCTTCAGTCATTGTTTCGCACCTTCTTCCTACATGTGAAGAACTGTGCGCTGCTTACACGCCTGTGTTGGCCCTGTATCACTTCCATCCTACACTTCGTAGAGGAACTTTACATGATCTGTATAGAACTCCAACAATCGGATAGTAGCTGTGTGGCAGGGCAACCGACTGGCTTGACCCGAACTCCGAAGAGGAGGCCTGGTTGCCCCACGAACTCAAATGCACAAGCCTAAATAGGTAGGAACATCATCCCATGGTATCACGACGTAGTTTTTATGATGGTAGAACTCCTCCAAGATTCCAACTATCTAGGCCCTGACAGCATGACCAACGCGAGGTTGCTTATGCAAAAAGGGAATAATTGCATTTGCAGTCAATGAAGAACCGGAGGTTCGGACACGGCGTAGGTGTAGGGCATGTGGGACGGAGTTGTAGGATTTTACAGAGCCATAGATTTCAGGATGGAGACGTAGGGTCCCAGGTGTGGCATGTGAACGATCTTCCATCCGGTCATCCAAAAAGCAGCACATGGGTTGAGCCATCCACTGCTGGTTAAGTCATTTTCGCGCAGCTTGGCGTCAAGCCCTCGTGCAGCTTCGAAGAAACCAAAAGGCTCCAAAGTAAAGTGGCCTTAGCCTCCTTTACCCAGGAATTGTAAGTTCTTCATCATATCATGTTATGAAACCATTGGCGCAGGACGACCTTCCAGCAGTCGCCAGGAGTCTTCCTCAGCATGCTACATGCAGAGTCAGGGCTTGAAGGTTGACATTTCAGGGTGAGTGAGCGAGTGAGTGAGTGAGAATCGACCTGCACTTACGGTGCGGCCTGCCTCCCACGTCCCTCGCCCCCCTCCGCCACAGAGTTCAAGTGGGGGATTACTAGCAAGTGCTAGCACGAGGCGGTACATTGCTTGTGTATGATAAGGGCTAATTCCACTAGCATCCAGTGCCTGAGCTATTCAGATGGGACATATAAGCATTTTGCGCAGCCCAGCCCAGGTGGCAACAGTCACATACAGAGGGCCCAATAAGACCACCAACCGACGTAGTAAACCCCACCTACATACCGTCTCAATGGGCCAAGTGCAGAGGCACATTGGCCGCAACAACGCCACCGTATTTAGCGCAAGTGCACATTGTTCCCAGCATCGACGGCGAGAATGTAGCAAACACAACCAACGTACAGCATCAACAGGCCGAGGGCAGAGGCACTTTCGGCCAAATAATACCAACGACCCATGTAATATCAATAGGTCACATGCACACAGTGGGCCCAATAATGCAGACACCTTAGTGGCAAGCAAAACCAGCATATCGTATCGATAGGCCAAGTGCAGATGCACTTTGGGTTCATACCACCAATGAGCCATGTACCAAGCACAACCAACATACGAACTTTTTGCCATGCGCCGAGGCA